TGTTTTCAAAATTTGAATATTTCAAAAAATCAAAATCTCCTAATGAAACATATATTTATCAAAATCTCCTAATAAAACATATATTTTGCTATTTGCAACTTTAAGTTATTTACCATTCCTTTAATATTTTATATAATCTAAATTATTCCAAAATTCTTAATTTTATATATATATATATGCTTGTTTTTATTTATTTCTAATACATATAATATTTCAATTGTTTTCAAAATTTTTGAATATGTGGGTATTTTTTAATATTTCAAAAAATCAAAATCTCCTAATAAAACATATATTTTGCTATTTGCAACTTTAATTTATTTACCATTCCTTTAATATTTTATATAATCTAAATTATTCCAAAATTCTTAATTTTATATATATATATATATATATATATATATATGCATTATTACAATTATTTTCTAAATTTACAACTATGTGGGTATTTTTTTTAATTCAAAATCTGCTAATGAAATTCATATTTTGTCACTTGCAACTTTAATATGCTTACCACTCCTTCAAGATTTTCACGAATTTTATGTCTAAATATTTCCTAAATTAGCCCAAAATTTGTAAAATAATCCCTTGAAATTTGAAAATATTACATATTTTTATTATTTAATGTGTATAGTATTAAAAAAAAAATATCGGGGGCGCTGCCCCCGAACCCCGTAAACTTTTATCTTTATTACTATATTTAATTCCGAACACCCTTGACAAAAATCCTGGATTCGCCACTGGGGACAAGTGGACTTTTTTAGGTTAAAAAGTGGAAACTTAGAGATCATAATATATATATATATATATATATATATATATATATATATATATATATATATATATATATATATATATATATATATATATATATATATATATATATCTATATATATATATATAAATTGATTTTCTTCTACAAAGTAAAAAAAGAACCTCGAGTTTAAAAACTTGGGTAAATGAATAACTCACAGTTCCAATATTAGTATTTCCAAGCAGCAATCCGGACAAGCAACAGTCTTTGGGAAGTTGGCAAAGGCTATCAACCACAGGGTTGCTTAGCTTGATCCC